TCATGGAAACTGAATAATACCCAACTGAATCACCAATGGGTTAAGGAAGAAATAAAGAAAGAAATTAAAGACTTCCTAGAGAACAATGAAAATGAAGACACCACATATCCAAATTTATGGGACACTATGAAAGCAGTACTAAGAGGGAAATTCATAGCACTAAATGCCCACATAAATAAGTTGGAGAAATCTCACACTAGAGACTTAACAGCATACCTGAAAGCTCTAGAACAAGAAGAAGCACAGTCTCCCAGGAAAAATAGACGCCAGGAAATTATCAAAGTGAGAGCTGAAATCAATAAAAGAGAACAATACAAAAAATTAATGAAACAAAGAGTTGGTTCTTTGAGAAAATCAACAAGATAGACAAGCCCTTATCCAAACTAACCAAAAGACAGAGAGAGAGCATCCAAATCAACAAAATCAGAAATGAAAAGGGGGACATAACAACAGACATTGAGGAAATCCAGAGAATCATCAGGTCATACTTCAAAAACCTCTATTCGACAAAACTGGAAAACCTAAAAGAAATGGATAACTTTCTGGATAGGTACCACATACCTAAGTTAAATCAAGACCAGATAAACTATTTAAATAGTCCAATAACCCCTAACGAAATAGAAACAGTCATTAAAAGTCTCCCAACCAAAAAAAGCCCAGGACCAGATGGTTTCAGCGCAGAATTCTACCAGATCTTCAAAGAAGAGTTAATACCAATACTCTCTAAATTGTTCCACACAATAGAAACAGAAGGAACATTACCAAACTCCTTCTACGAGGCTACAATTACCCTAATTCCTAAACCAAACAAGGATACAACAAAGAAAGAGAACTACAGACCAATCTCCCTCATGAACATTGATGCAAAAATACTCAATAAAATACTGGCAAACAGACTCCAAGAACACATCAAAACAATTATCCACCATGATCAAGTAGGATTCATTCCAGGGATGCAAGGGTGGTTCAACATACGAAAGTCCGTCAATATAATACACCATATAAACAAACTCAAAGAAAAAAACCATATGATCATCTCACTGGATGCAGAAAAGGCATTTGACAAAATCCAACACCCCTTCATGATAAAGGTATTAGAGCGATCAGGAATACAGGGAACATACCTAAACATAATAAAGGCAATTTACAGCAAGCCAACAGCCAACATCAAATTAAATGGAGAGAAACTCAAAGCAATTCCACTAAAATCAGGAACGAGGCAAGGCTGTCCACTCTCCCCATACTTATTCAATATAGTACTTGAAGTTCTAGCCAGAGCAATAAGACAACATAAGGAGATTAAAGGGAAACAAATTGGAAAGGAAGAAGTCAAGCTTTCCCTATTTGCAGATGACATGATAGTATACTTGAGCGACCCCAAAGATTCCACCAAGGAACTGATACAGCTTATAAACACCTTCAGCAACATAGCAGGATACAAGATCAACTCAAAAAAATCAGTATCCCTCCTATATACAATGGACAAAGAAGTGGAGAAGGAAATCAGAGATACATCTCCCTTTACTATAGCCACAAATGGCATAAAATACCTTGGGGTAACACTAACCAAGCAAGTGAAGGACCTATATGACAAGAACTTTAAGTCCCTGAAAAAAGAAATTGAAGAAGATGTCAGAAAATGGAAAGATCTCCCATGCTCATGGATAGGCAGGACTAACATAGTAAAAATGGCAATCTTACCAAAAGCAATCTACAGATTCAATGCAATCCCCATCAAAATACCAACACAATTCTTCACAGACCTGGAAAGAATAATACTCAACTTCATATGGAAAAACAAAAAACCCAGGATAGCCAAAGGAATCCTGTACAATAACACAACTTCTGGAGGCATCACGATCCCTGACTTCAAGCTCTACTATAGAGCTACAGTAATAAAAACAGCTTGGTACTGGCATAGAAACCGACATGTGGACCAATGGAATCGAATTGAAGACCCTGACATTAATCCACACACCTATGAACATATAATTTTTGACAAAGAAGCCAAAAGTGCACAATGGAAAAAAGAAAGCATCTTCAACAAATGGTGCTGGCAAAACTGGATATCAACATGTAGAAGGCTGCAAATAGATCCATATCTATCACCGTGCACAAAACTTAAGTCCAAGTGGATCAAGGACCTCAACATAAATCCAGCTACTCTGAACCTGCTAGAAGAGAAAGTAGGAAGTAGTCTTGAACGCATTGGCATTGGAGACTACTTCCTAAATAGAACACCAGTAGCACAGACTCTGAGAGAAACAATCAATCAATGGGACCTTTTGAAACTGAGAAGCTTTTGTAGAGCAAAGGATACGGTCAACAAGGCAAAGCGACAGCCTACAGAATGGGAAAAGATCTTCACCAACCCCACATCTGACAGAGGACTGATATCCAGAATATATAAGGAACTCAAGAAATTAGACATCAAAATGCCCAACAGTCCAATTAAGAAATGGGCTATAGAACTAAACAGAGAATTCTCAACAGAGGAAACTCAAATGGCCGAAAGACATTTAAGGAATTGCTCATCATCCCTAATCATCAGGGAAATGCAAATCAAAACAACTCTGAGATACCACCTTACGCCTGTCAGAATGGCTAAGATCAAAAACACTGAAGACACCTTATGCTGGAGAGGATGTGGAGCTAGGGGAACTCTCCTCCACTGCTGGTGGGAATGCAAGCTTGTACAACCACTTTGGAAATCAATATGGCGCTTTCTTAGAAAATTGGGAATCAATCTCCCCCAAGATCCAGCTATACCACTCTTGGGCATATACCCAAGAAATGCTCAACCACACCATAAGAGCACTTGTTCAGCTATGTTCATATCAGCATTGTTTGTAATAGCCAGAACATGGAAACAACCCAGATGCCCTTCAACTGAAGAATGGATAAACAAAATGTGGTACATATACACAATGGAATACTACTCAGCAGAAAAAAACAATGGCATCATGAGGTTTGCAGACAAATGGATGGATCTAGAAAAAATCATCCTGAGTGAGGTAACCCAGACTCAGAAAGACAAACATGGTATGTACTCACTCATAGCAGGATACTAGACATGAAACAAGGATGAATTGTCTGCTACTCACATCACCAGGGAGGCTACCCGGAAAACAGGACCCCAAGAAAGACACAGGGATCGCCCAATGACAGAGAAATGGAATGAGATCTACATGAACAGCCTGGACATGAGTGGGGGTAATGAAAGGCGAGGGTCGAGGGAAAGAGAGCTTGGGGGAGCGGGAGATCCCAGCTGGATCAACAACAGAGAGGGAGAACAAGGAATAGGAGACCATGGTAAATGAAGACCACATGAGAACAGGAAGAAGCAAAGTGCTAGAGAGGCCCACAGAAATCCACAAAGATACCCACACAACAGACTGCTGGCAATGGTCGAGAGACAGCCCGAACTGACCTACTCTGGTGATGGGATGGCCAAACACCCTAATTGTTGTGCTAGAAACCTCATCCAACTACTGAGGGATCTGGATGCAGAGATCCATGACTAGGCCCTGGGTGGATCTCTGGGAGTCCAATTAACGAGAATGAGGAGGGTTTATATGAGCGAGAATTGTTGAGACCAAGGTTGGATAAAGCACAGGGACAAATAGCCAAATGAATGGAAACACATGAACTATGAACCAATGGCTGAGGGGTCCACACTGGATCAGGCCCTCCGAATGGAACTGCAAAAAATCACAGATCTACAACTATCTACATGAAAAGTTAAAAATGTGGGGGTATATGCACAGGAATGATATACTTGCATCATGTGTAAGTATTATTTATAGTTTTTGAGAGGTATCAATATTGACTTCTACAGCTGCTGTACCACTTTAAATTCCTACCAACAGTGAATAAACATTCCCTTTTCTCCACAAAAAAAAAAAAAAAAAAAAAAAAAAAAAAAAAAAAAAGAAATTAACTTTCAATTGGACCATATAATTTCTGGAGTCAAGATCTTATGAAATATAACATGCATTTCTCATTTTAAAAATGTCCTTTACAAATGTATTTCTTGAAATGATCCAATGTGGAAAAGTATTCTTGATTTTAAAACTGAATACTTTTAAAATAATAATACATATTTTGCGATTTTATATAATACTTTCAGACAGACATATAGTTTTTAGAAATTTAATCCTTTATAAATTTGTAATTGCATTTATATTATTTGTATGCATGTGTGTCTATGTTGGTAACAAAGAGCATGTGACAGTCAGAGGATGACTTGTGAGCCTTCTGTCATGTGTGTTTCTGGGATCTAACCTATGTTGTCAGGCTTGAGGACAAGAAACTTTACATACTGAAATATATTCCTGCCCAGAACTGAATCATTTGACAAATGTAACTATCTATTATTCATTTTGAAATGAGAAGATTTATGGAGGTACTCTTAAGCTGTTGCATTAGTTCTATGTGATTATGGATGCATACAGATTTGTTCTAAAGTTCAACTTCCCCAACCATTAGGGAAGTACAATTGAAAACAATGAGATGTTACCTCATTCCACTATGAAACTAAATTATCAAAGCACACAACAACAGAAAAAGAAACCAAAAACAACAACAAAAAATGAAGAAGTTTTACCAAGCATGTAAACAAAAGAGAACATCTGAACACTTCTAGTATGGCTGAAAGTTAGTAAAACCATTATGAAGAATTGTGTGGTCATTTTTCAAATTATGAAAAATAGAACCATCATATCATTCAACATCCAATTACTAGGTAAACATCCAAAAGAAATAAGATCAGTGTGTTGAAGAGTAATCAGTTTTCTAATATTCCCTACAGTGCCAAGAGCAAAGAAATGGAAACAACCTCAGTATCCCTCATCTGATGAATGAATGATGAGTGTGATATGAGTGAGCACACGTCAGAATGCCACTCAGCTACAGAGAGGATGAAATCCTACCACATGAACAACATGGATGGAACTGGAAAGCATCTTGTTGACAGAAATAAATCAGACACAGTAAGAAAATACTGCATTGTACATGTATATTCAGAATGTTAAAAATTATGTCATAAAGCTTGAAACTAGAATAGTGGTGAACAAAGACTGGGCAAAGAATGGAGGGAGTGTTGGACAAGAAAACGATGATCAATGATTCTTGATGATAGCTAGATTAGAGAAGTCTAGTACACAGGTGAAAAATACAATAACAATAGAAAACAATTATACAGTGTTTACAATAGCCAGAAAAATCATTTATATGTTCTATCATACAGAAATGTTAAATAAAATGTAGTGATAGAAATGTTTAACCTGATTTTAACCTATATCGAAACCTCACATGGTCACATGGCATTCAGTATGTGTAGTGTTTATAACCAAGTAAATTTAATTTAAATTTAAAATATAAGAGTTGGTTATTTAATTAGCTCAACTTTCATTAACCTAGGATAAACAAGAAGGGTACAGTTTTCTTCATTCCAAGACTTCATAATTAGTAAAAAACAAATCTTCTGTCCCAAAGCATCTTTATCTATACAATAAAATGGGAAAGTAGTGTCTTCTCAGTATTGTCTCCTTCTATCTCACTGCCTCCATGAATGACCTATATTGAGACTAGCTGATAAGACTGTGACCAAAGGGAAAAAAAAGAGAAATAAAACAAGTCCTGCAAATATACAGAAAAAAATCAAACAGGAAAGTATGACTCCATCACAAATTAATCATTACTCAGACACACAATAATGGGTGCATCCCATAGAAAGTGGCAGAGACTGCTGATTACACAGTTTCAGGTGAGAGCCGGAGGCCCACTATAATCTCAAATACTTTCAGGCATAGGATTGCCAACCCTAATAAATCTTTGGCTTACAATAATAAATTCTATCATCAGAATTCTAGTGATATTTTTGGAAAATTAATGAAATTATTGGAGAATATTTCATTTTTTAAAGTTGTTTTATTATGATGTTTAAATTTTGTAAAAAAATGTCATGTTTTATTACTGTGTGACATTTGAATAAAAAGCAGTATTTGGCGATTTGAGGAACATCATGTCCAGGCTACTCATTACCAATTAATTTTGAAGGTTTAAAGAGAAAAAAGATAGAGCCTTTTCCATCATAGGGCTTTAATTCTAGCAGTAGTGCTATGTGCACACAGCTAGCTAGAGCATAAGTTTGAAAAGTAGTGTATTTACAAGATAAGGATGTATGTAGTAACCTAGGAAATTAAATAATATGAAGTCATAGGAAAAGAGTGGAAAGAGATTTTAGGCCCAGATATCCTGAAGAAATCTCATGTCATTTGCAGAAAGGGTGGAAAGGGACACAGTCAAGCCTCCCTTTGTGGCTTTGGCAACTTAGCCCCTCCATATGTCAGGTGTCGTCTGAATACTGAGAAGAAATTTTAGGCACAGTAATGAGATAGACTGTTGTTAGATTTTCTTTTACTCTAGCCCCACATTGGAATGTCAAAAAGTGGGTGGTTGTTTTCTACTCTTTTGGGGGGCCTGCCACCCAGATCGTAGATAAATCACACCCAGAGGCTTCTTCTTAATTATAAATGCCTGACATTAGCTTGGCTTGTTACTAGTCAGCTTTTCTTAATTTATCCCATCTACCTTTTGCATCTGGGCTTTTTCCTTTTCTTACTTCTGTATATCTTACTTTCACTTTTACCCCATGATTGGCTGTGTGGCTAGGTGTCTGGTCCCTGGTCTCCTCCTCTCCTTGTTCTCTTGCTCTTTCTTCTTTTCCTCCCAGATTTCTCTATCTACTTATTCTGCCTACCAGCCCCACCTTTCATTTATCCAGCCTTGCTATTGGCCATTCAGCTCTTTATTAGACCATCAGGTATTTTAGACAGGCACAGTAACACAGCTTCACAGAGTGAAACAAATGCAACTTAAAGAAATGCAACACAGCTTTGCATCATTAAACAAATATTCCACAGCATAAACAAATGTAACACATCTTAAAATGATATTCTGCAACAGACAATCTAGAGATGAAGGGAACACTGTTTTTTTGTACACAAAGCCTCTGTGACAACATGGCATTCTATGAGAAATCAAATGGGGGCAAAGTGAGAGCTGAGAGGAGCTTCAGACTGGCCCTATCTTTTGAAAGTTCATTTCTGTGAATAGAAACACCTGGAAATTTCACTGAGAAACAGGACCATTTTTTTCTACCTTTTGTTATCACCACAGTCACCTACTTCAACACTTCTCTCTTTACTGAAGTGAGAGGGGGAGGGATTCAATCATGATATGCATTGGTCAGGGTGTTAGATTCTGAAAGGCAGTGTCTTTTCTGTCAGTTTGGTATTGTTATCATAGAGATTATATTGATAACATTTCTTTTATGACACCAATTTCTTCCTTGATTTTATAGTCTTCTCTGGGTTGGAGGGAGCTATAAAAAAGAAGAAGAAGAGGATGAGGAGGAGGAAGAAGAAGAAAAGCAGAAAAGATTTTGTTTTATTACAAGCTGCAAAGAACTGATTGTTATTTTAAGTATCACTGGGGTGCTGTGTATGACTCCATTCAGCAACAAAGACCATTAGAAAAGCGTCACACTATCATGCATTTTTAGTGATACGATGATCAAATTACATTGTAAATAAAAATAAGAGGTGTACAGTTTCTTGCTGAAAGTAGGAAAAAAAGATTTCCTTTTCTTTTTTACAGCATAAACTTAATAACCTTAAAACTTCTCTTTTATGTGTAAATAAAATTTTAGCCAAACAAATAAAATAAATCTCTTGTGTATTAGTACCAGGGATTTTTTCCCCACAAGTTCTTAAGAAGCATGTCTTTGAAATATAACCTACAACAAAGGTAGAAACTCTACCTCCAGATTCTCAATTTCCCCCTCATTGAAAAGAATCTTGGAGGGGTTGGGGATTTAGCTCAGTGACAGAGCACTTGCCTAGCAAACGCAAGGTCCTGGGTTCGGTTCTCAGCTCTGGAAAAAAAAATCTTGGGTTCCAAAGATGTGAAAAATTTGTCTTTCCTTTAAATAAACACACATATCAAGCTCAGATGACCACTGCCTATAGCAGAAACATTTATAGTAACTATGCATGATGCACACTGCTCTGAAATCCTCTTATTTGCAGGGTTATTGTTTACTTTGAGGAAATGTGTTAAGGGCTTGTATCTGACTTTGAAAGTTGAGGGGTACCCATTTTGCTCATGGATCTCTCAGCATGCTGCCTTTATTGCACATCACATTCTGGCTTAATGTTTACTCAATAATAAGATTTTTTTCCACTTTTGTAGTAAGTTTCCTGTGAGAAGTTTTGTTTTAATTTATTTTATTTTGTAAGTTAACGTGTAACAATTATGCATATTTATGAGATACAGTGTGACATTTCATTAGGCAGGGGCAACACATAAAAACCCGGTCTGGTGATTGGCACTTCCAGTTCCTTACCATTTCATTACGGCAGGATATTTTGTGTGTGTCTGTTCTAGTTCATACAATATATAAAAGTAGTAGTTGCCCTACTTTACTTTAAAAGACTAGAATTTATTTCTTCTATCCAGCTGGTTAATGGGACCTGTTATTTACCTTCCTTCTATCTTCTTTGTCCACTATGCCTCCTAGCCTCTTCTGCTCAGATGAAGACTTTCCCAGATTCCTCTTGGGATGGGCAGTGTGTGGCATTAATCTTTCAGTGCTTGCCTTATATCACACAAGGTATTTTCCAGCTCTATTAATTCTGCTGAAGCTTAGGGCACTCTAGTATTTAAAGGTTAGTAATATTTTATTATTTTTGCATACAGTATTCTCTTTATCATTTCATGTGTGTGATCTAGGTTGATCCCGTGTCTTTGATATTATAAATAATTTTATAATAAACATGCACTTCATGGCCTGCATAGACATTGGTACTAGTGTTTTGTCCTTCCTGTTTCTCCTTTCTCTTGATTCCAAGTAAAATAAATGTTTTGTTTTTTCTTGTAAAACAAACAAAAAACAAAAACAAAAACAAAACATGGGGTTGAGATATCATTGATGTATTGATTGTATTACTTTCAAAAATTCTAGTTCTAGGATATCAGATGGCTTTTTTTCTAATCCGTGCACACCAGAAATATGTATAGTAAATACACACACATACACACACACACACACACACACACACACACACACACACACACACACTCACACTCAGGCATTAATGCAAAAAAATTAAATCTTTATAAAATTGTTATCCTCTGGGGGAAGACAACACCAATTGGATATTCCATTCCAAATTATCAGTCATGAGACATACATAGAAGAAACATAGAAGCCAAACAGGTTATATTTAGATGTATGTACTAGTGTATATGCAGGTGTATACATGTATATGCATATAATAACAATTTGTGAAAAGTAGCCAAGCATTTTGAAGACAGTGTGTGTGGGGGAATATATGGGAAACTTTGAAGAGAAGAAAGGGAAGGGAGAAATTTTATAAATTATAATCTTAAAATTGCATGAATTATACATAAAATTCAACACTCTTTCCACTAAATTATCATGCACAAGAGATAACAGGCAGTCTTCACATAGTTTTACCTCCCTAGTTACAGGTTGTTCTTTTTTTTTTCTTGAAGAACGTTTTTTTAATGCAAAGCAACTTCTATTACTGTTATTTACTCTTTCCATTTATCATTCAACTAAAAAATTATCTAACCTTAAAATTCCTACTTTTAGGCAAATGTTCTCTCTCAGGATTTTGGCATGTGGTGGTGCTGGCAGCCTCAGCCTTTTAAGTGCTAATATCCCTGGCTTTACATAGGTTCTTTTTTTTTTCTGCCTAAGGAAAGTTTATTTCATGTATAAAAATGTTTTATTTTTTTTTAAATGTCGAATGCTGTTTATTGAAGGAGGGAGGAGGTCTTAAATACAGGCTTACAGCACAATAGGAGAACCCTGGAGGGCAGAAATATGCTACCATGTTTTACAATCTTGCATCTAAGATGTTAAAGCCCATTATGCAGGATACACAGACAAGGAGGTTCCCTTAAGCATTCAGGAGGGTGGAACCCAGCAAGGAATTAGCATAGGGAGGATATCAAGGTCAAGGTCAGCAAACAAGGCAACAGTTACCCAAAATGGGGGCCAGGGCCCTACAGGTCCCCCTTTTACTAAAAAATGACCTTCTGACTTAGGTTGTGTGGGACATCAGCAGGTCACCTTACCCGTCATGGAGACACCTGTCCAGGCCACACAGGTGCTCTATCTTAGGTTGGTGAGCGCACCCCCCCAGGCATTACCCATCTCTGAATATTCATTATCATACAGGCTCAATCGTGTGTGAGCTGCAGAGTTAACTGCTGCCAAAGATCTCAAAGTAGCTCTGGGCTTGCAATCTGTGTGTTTGACACAGAAAAGACCAACAGAAGTCCTAACCCACCCATAGCCAGTAAGCTAAAGGCAACTGAGCCATTCCCTTTCTTTCTTTCTTTCTTTCTTTCTTTCTTTTTTTTTTTTTTTTTTTTTTTTTTTTTTTTTTTTTTTTTTTGAGACAGGGTTTCTCTGTGTAGCTTTGCGCCTTTCCTGGAACTCACTTGGTAGCCCAGGCTGGCCTTGAACTCACAGAGACCCTCCTGGCTCTGTCTCCCGAGTGCTGGGATTAAAGGTGTGCACCACCACCGCCCGGCGCCATTCCCTTTCTTAATGAGTCTTACTGCAAATTGGAGTCCTTCTAAGATGGTATACCAAAAGCAAATGGAACTTGAATTTATAAATTTATAATTTTCAAAGCCAATTGAAATGTATATAACTATTGAATTAAATTTATCATGACCAATAGAATGAAAGATTAACTGTGGTAGCTACTTTTGCTGCCAGGGTCTCCACTGTGGTAGCTGTAGTAACCAATTATGAAATGGTAACCCCAGAAACAGTACCTGCGGTGGCCACCACTGCTATAACAGCAACAACGGCAGCAGCAATGTCAAATTCCCTTCTGGAGCGTGTGGGCATCCACTGGGATGGATACAACTCCAGGAACACGAACCACCAAGGCCCATTTTTCTTGATCCCAGCATAAATTAAGCTGGCAGCTCTGCAAAAGAACAACTAAGAACCATAAAGAAAAAACAGGCAGCTCACAAGGAGCAGAACTAATGGTCTCATAATGGCTACATTCAGGCTCATAAATTTTAAGGTATCTTCAAGGTGGCTAATGAATTTCAGGAGGCCAATAAATGTTTCATAGAGCCACTCCTGAAGAGTAGGTACTACACCAGCTTAAAGAGGATTGTAAAAATGAAAAGGCTTAGCTGGCATGCTACTATTAACAAATGGAGGTCAGTGACCTTCAGGGTTATCCTTATCTCCAAGGTGTCTGGGTGACAGATTCTCAAACATACTTGAAAAAGCAGTTACCATACATTACCTTCTGGAGAATCCAACCACATGACTTCAGTTCCTAGGCTTATGTTAATCTCGCCAAAGCTGGCCATATTGGGCTCTCAATCCCCATTGGCATCAGAAGGGGAGAGTTTTTCACAAAGGCCCAATAGGTCTCAACAGCAGCCACAGGGTGCACACAGCACTCAGGAATCCAAAGAGGAACCTCATTGTCCTGAGGAAAGACATAAACAGAAACCTGGGCCCACACCAACACCAGATCGGGTCTCCTCCAAGTGCCAGTAGAAAGAACCTTCCATCTTTGCAACAGGAGCCCTCCAGTGCTTATCTGCAGCTGATACTCTAGCAGAATCTACCGATAAAAAATTTTAAATATATAAAACAAGGGAAAGAATAGAATATGGAGAGGAATGATGAGCCCCTAGTTCCCCCTTTTTACTTTAGCAAGTGACAGGATTTCATTTTCCGTATGGATGAATATACTTCTTTCTCTCTTTATCTCTCTCTCCCTACTCTCCTTCTGCTTTCTTCCCTTCTCTCCCTCCCCACTCTGTGTGTCTGTTAACATATCACTACATTTATCTTTTGATGGGCATCTAGGCTTCACTTACCTCAGCTACTGTGAGTAGTGAGACCTTAAACACAGCATGTAGATGTTTCCTTAATATGTTCTTTCCATGGTCGGAGTCTACTCAAGAATGCAGATAATGTACCATATGCCAGATGCATTTTTAATTTTTAAATAACCTCCATACTGCTCTCGCTAATGGCTGCACTAATTTCTGTACCTATCAAGAATGTATGGGCATTGCCTTTTTCCCACATCTTTGTCATAACTTCTAATTCTTTTCTGCTAATACACATTCTAATGAAGTGAGCTAACATCTCCTAACAGTTTTGACTTGTGCATCTAATGATCAATGACATTGAATGTTTTCCATTTACCTATTGGATATTTATATTGCTTCTTTAGATAAAAGTTCATTTTGATCTGTGTTCACTTCAAATTGGCGTATTTCAGTTGTTAAATTTAAGGATTCTAGACATTAATCTTTTTTTTCCGAGAAACAATTTAGCGTATATCCTCTCACTCTACAGGTTATCTCTTCAGTCTATTGATTATATCCTTTTTTTTGTGAGAAAACTTCTTACTTGATACAAACCTGATTGTCTGCTTTTTATTTTATTTCACATGCTTTGTGAATATCATTCAAACTATAATTTGCCAAATTGATGTTTTTTAAATGGTATTTATCTATTTGTACCCTGACAGAATCATGTAGGTTTTGCCTGCTCTCATCCCTTTCCCCTCCTGCTAACACCATTCTTTTCCCAAAGTCCTCTTACTTTTATGCTTGTTTGCAGGTGTAATACACTGAAGTTAACTAGGGTTGCTTGCATGAGGGTGTGTGTTGTGGTGGTGGTGGTGGTGGTGGTGGTGGTGGTGTGTGTAGGATTACTAGATCTTGGATAACTTTTCTTTTGCTACACCACAGAAGAAAATGACAACCCCTTTTCCCAAGTGACCATGAACTATCAATAACCCCAGAGAGAAATGGGGCTTCACAGGCCCCTCCCACATTCTTGATGACACGTTGAAGAAACTAGTCTTGTCCAAGTCACCTTAGCTGCAGTGGATTCCTCTGAAAAATGGCAATGTTATATCCTGAAGACATTGTGTACGGTGAAGAGATTGGGGCTGAAACAATGGCACCTTGTAATGTTTCCCTTGTTCTTTTGTTTTCTGTTAGTTCAGAGGTTTGGGCATACACTAAGTCATTGACCCATTCTGAGTTGATTGTTTATATGGTAAGATGTAGATGAAGTTTTTATTTACCTTTATAGTCAATTTGCTAAGCACCATCTTCCGAGTAGGATTTACTTTCTCCAGTTCATAGTTTTGATACCTCAGTGAAGAAAATGTTGACTATAGGTTTGTGAATTGCTTTCTGAGAACACTATTCTTTCCACCATTCAATACATTGAGTCATTATTTCAATGAATCAGTTTATTCATTACCCAAGTGGTTAGTACCATGTACCATGATATCTTGGTTAACACATCCCTGTAGTATTTCTTTATGGCAAGTATTGTGATGTCTCCAAGGATTTGGTCATCTTTGTTTGAGATTCCTTTTGTTAATTGGGGCTTATTTTGCTTTCATAGAAGTTTTAGGATTTTTTTCAATTTGTGTGAATAATACTCCATATGTTTTTTTTATTGAGGTTTCTTTGGATTGTTGAGTTGGATTCCACAGTGTGGTATTTTGACAGTATCAAAGTTCTTATTGTTGTTTGTGGTATGGTAATATCTCATTTCATTTCTCAATTTGTGTTTTGTAACTTTCATTAGAGGTCTTCTGGTTACTTAACCAAATTTATTCCCAGAAATATTATTGTAATTATTCTGAATTTGATTTCATTCAAGAATTCTTTTTGGAAAACTCCTTACTGGTTTATTAAAATGGTTCTAGTTCTTACATGTTGACTTGGTTTCTTACAGCTTAAAGAGTTACTTCAAGTTTTCATGTGCATTGTTTAGGTTTCTGTAGAAATTGAATCATTTCACCTATCAACAGAGACGTTTTAACCTCCCCACTTCTTGTGTGCATGTTTTCTATTTTTCATCTGCCTAATTGAACTGGCTAAGATTCCAGTGTTATAATGAAAAGAATGTTGAAAGTAAGCATTCATGTCTTGTGCCAGCTCTTAGAAAAACAATTTCACTTAAGATGACCTTCGCTATGAGGTGGTCATATGCAGCAGGCATTACATTGAGGTGCCTTCCTTCCCAATCTAACTTGTGAAAATTGCTTTTTATAATAAACAGATGTGGAAACATATTGAATGCATATCTATTGAGATCAACATGCGGATTTGCCCTTCTTTCTGAAGATGTGGCATATTTCATTTATTTATTTGCATATGTTGAGCAAATTTGCATCACTGAGAGAAATTTCACTTGATCATAGTATTGTTTCATGTGCTGATTGGACTTGATTTTTGAAATTTATGTTGAACTGATTTGCATGAATGTTCATAAGAGGAATCAGTCTATAGTTTTCTTGATTGTCATTACATCCTTGTCTAGTTTTGGTAACAGAGTAATACTGACCCAATGACATTAATTTAAATATTTACTTCATTTAATTTATACAAATATTTTGACATAAATCTGTCTTCTTTATTAAAAAAAGATGAAGTTCAGTAGTGAAGCTACCATAACCAGCTCTTATTTTATTGGAAGAATCTTATGACTTATTCATCTTTATCATATATAACATACCAGATCAGATTCCCTGTGCATTTTGGTTCGACACTTGCATGCATTCAGGAACAGTGTTCTGTCAATCCTTGGTTCTCTGATTTGTCAGCTCTGGTTGTTCATTATAGTCACTAATGATCTTTATATTTCTTTAGCAAAAGTTGTCATGTTTCCATTATCATTCTTGAGTTATTTCAGACATTTATTTATCTTTTTCTGTATGAAATCATCATAATTATATTTTCACTCAGATATTTATAGTCCTGTGCTTTCTCCATCTTTCTTCTCCAAGACTTTAACAAGCTTTTACTTCTGGTGACTTGTGGGTAAGCTACTGACCCACAGTAGGTGAAGCATATCCATTCTGACTTCCCTGTGGCTTTGCTGTGGCTGATGATTCTGGCCTTCTTCTGTATATAACACAGTTCAGACCATTAATCAGGGCAAACCAATGTGAGTGAAGTTGGGGGCAGTGGAGCCTCCAGAAGATCTTTATCCAAGGAGATAGTGTGTGGGAGGCCTACTCCCACTTTTTCCAGAATACTCTTGAGACAGGATAAGAAAACATCAAGTAGAATGATAGACCTAGATGACAAGAGGAAAGACAGAAATACAGGATATCTTCAGGAGGACCTAGGTCAATACCAAACATCCCACATGTTTATTCAAAAGGGATTTATATAACATGTGAAGAGGAAAGGCAAAAGACTTTCCCTTGCTACATCAAAGCACACTATACTGCCAAGTGTGGACACTTCCAAACACCTGGTAACCACACCCATGGTCAAATCATCTCCTTATATAGCCCTGCTGGGTAAAGCAAGCTGAGATTCTCTGACCCTGAGCAATTTGGGCCTCTACAAATCCCCCCTTCTTGATAATATAAATCTCAAGTGAAATGGCCTTTTTGAATGGGTATAAAATGTAGTCTTAAAGCCGGGCGGTGGTGGCGCACGCCTTTAATCCCAGCACTCGGGAGGCAGAGCCAGGCGGATCTCTGTGAGTTCGAGGCCAGCCTGGGCTACCAAGTGAGTTCCAGGAAAGGCACAAAGCTACACAGAGAAACCCTGTCTCGAAAAACCAAAAAAAAAAAAAAAAAAATGTAGTCTTAGTTGTACCAAGTCCTTCTTTAAATTAACAATCTCCTGATGCAACCACATCAAACCTAAAGACTCACTTGACATCATCATTAACAGGTTAACATTATAATTCTAACATAAATATTACTATATTCAATTACAATTCTTAACAAACTTACATCCAAAAACAATCCTTCAATATAACTGTTTACATTTCATAAACTTTATCAAACATTCAAAAGCAATTTCTTAATAGAACTCTTTACACTTTAAAGCAATCTCTTAATAGAACCATTTGCATTTCTTGCTAACAAAACATAAGGTACATTAATCCACTCAAGGGAGAAGAATTTTTTGTTTGTTTGTTTGTTTTTCAAATCAGGGTTTCTCTGTGTAGTTTTGATGCCTGTTCTGGATCTTGCTCTGTAGACCAGAATGGCCTTGAACTCACAGAGATCTGGCTGGCTTTGCCTCCCAAATGCTGTGATAAAAGGTGTGTGCTACCACTGCCCAGCAAGAAAATATTTTTTAAATTAAATTAAATAGACTGAGGAATATTAACTCTCCCCTTTCTTTATAAGTTTTTAAACTACATCTTGAGCTTAGGTAGAAGAAAAAATTTTTTCTATTTCTTCATGAAACAGTTTCATAAGCAGTTCCATTTTTTACATAAAATCAGTTCATATATTATCACAGTAGACAGAGTCTTTATGTGTAGGTAAATTCAAAATTGTCCATTGCTATGGAATCACTCCTGTCCATCCCATTTCTTAAGTCTGAAAAGTTTAAAAAGACAGTTCTGGTACCAGTTTTAAATGTTCAAAATCAGGGCCTGGCTCTTTAGCCACCCCAAAGTCTTTGTACAGCTGTCAGAGCTATAATGACTCTGAAGCAAACAGCCCCAAATATGAGGAATCCCATAACCAAAACTTTTTTTTCAGTTCAAACAAGCCTCTCTGAAACTTCCACTCTCTGCTACAGTTGCGATTTGCAGTCTATAGTCTTCTCCTAAGGCCATTTTTGCTCCAGGGCAAAAGCTATTAATTGGCTGGGGCAGAGTCCTTTCAAAAGAGACCTTCTTACAGCCAGCAAACAAACTGCATGGCTTTCTGCTTCTGGTTCTCACAGTCCTGGTCTGTCTACGCCTCCATAACCAGCACATTCACTAAGGACCTCTGTGTCCTGAGGTTAGAGGTCTTTCAATCACCTCACGCTACATGGGCTCAAGATTCTTCCTGCTGCTACAAGTCTCAGCTTTTATTCAACAACCCTGTCTCTGAGAAGAAACCCAGCCATGGCCAGTCATGGCTGCTGTACCCTGGGAGCTTTACCTGCTCTGCTGCTGGTCCTTACATCCTGTGTTCTGCCTCATTTTCATGGCCAAATGCCTCCACCAGCCAAACAGCTTCCTTTCACTCTGTCGCTGGGCACCCAGGCTGGCCTCAGTTCCTGAGTCTCCACCATTCAGCCTGAAGCACAGCTCTGCCTTACCCAAGCAGTTCCCTGGGATCCAGTGCATCTCAGCTGCTTTTTGGGCTACTGATGTTGTTTTTCTGCCCAGGGCAGCAGTCTTGGGCACAGTCTCTGATGCTCACCACTCTTCACCCTTCACCTTTCCTGAGGTGTGGCATCTCTGCTGGGCTTTCCAAGCTGCTGTCTGTGGCTTGTCTCTCTCCCTTCATAGCATCTTTATTGTGCTCCTCACCACAACTTTCTCTAGGCAGAAAGCTGCCCTCGCTACTCTCACTGTCTCTCAGACATCTGCCACCAGAGTTGCACTGATGCCTCACAGGTCTCAGCTGCCAATGCCTGGCTGCTGCCACTTGTGCTGACTCTGATGTCCACCATTATTAGTGGCTTCTGTAGCTTCTGTAGCTGTTTGGAATACCAAGTTTGCAGTGTGCTATGGATGCTGCTTTCTACATGCCAGGTTCCACTTGTACTCAGGGAAAAACCTACTCTACTCTAAATTACTTTTTTTGTTAAACCTTCACCATATCCCTAAATCTAAATCTCATGTTTCTAAAACTTTAACAAAACATTTTTACAACTTTAGAGAGAGAGAGAGAGAAACATAGACAGAGACAGAGAGAGTTACTGACTGCAGCCTAACATTTACTACTCTGCTTTGTATTTACAATTACTCCTGAAGATTAAAATACCACTACTCAACTTCATTCATTACTGGGCATGCACCCTGCTCTGTGGTACCCCCTACTCTACATTTGCCAAGTCTCTAGTTCAGATGCCACTTGTGGGAGGCCTGCTCCCACTTTTTCCATGGTACTCTTCAGGAGAGAGGGGTAAGAAAATATCAAGTAGAAAGAGAGACCTAGCGGATGAGAGGAAAGACAGAAATATAGAATAGCTTTGGGAGGACTTGGGTCAATACCCACCAGCCCAGAACTTTATTGAAAAGGGCATTTTATAACAATGCCAAGGGACAAGGCAATAGACCTCCTGTTCACTAGATACAGCCAAGTGCAGACCCTTCCAAACACCTGGTAACAATACCCATGGTCAAATAATCCCCTTATGCAACTCTGGTGGGTAAATCAAGCTTAGATTCTCTGATTGTGAGTAATTTGGTCCTCTACAATAGTGCGGCACAAAGTAAGCCTGCTACCTTTAAAGTCTGTGCTGTTTCTGCATGGAATTCAGGAGACTATATTGTATAGACACAAGAGTTCAGGGCTTTATTAGTTTCCTCCTCTGTCACTGATAGAAAACACTTCCCAAAAACAGCTTAAGGAGGAAAGGGTTTATCTGACTTACAGCTTGAAGTCTAAAATGAAGAAAAATCAGGACAGAAACTCAAGTTGAGAACCTGGAGGCAGGAACTGAAGCAGAGGCCATGGAGGAATGCTGTTTACCAGCTTGCTCCTCATGGCTTACTCAGATTGTTTTCTTTATAAACTGGGACATTTCCAGGGGAAGCACCGCCAGCAGTGGTCTGAGCCTCCTCCATTAATCAGTTATCAAGAGAAAGACCCACAGACATAACCACAAGCCACTAGTCTATGTAAAGATTTGTATTCATTTTCACTAAACTTTTGAATTTTTAGTTTACTTTATCTCTTCTTGCTTTTGGTGCTTTTTACCTTCTGTTGATGGCTTAGTGTGGTCCTGCTTTCTTATGTGCTGAGATGAATGCTTAGGCTATTAATTTGAAATCTTCCCATTATTATGACTTAACGACTCATTGCTAGGATTTTTCTGTAAGTACATCTCTTTCTGGATCCTGTAGATATTGGTATTTTCTACTTCTTTCATGAATGTGCAACTATTTTAAATTTACTTAGTGATGTATTATTTGTTGCATAACATGCAATTTAGTCTATATGAATTCAGACATTTTTCTAAACATCTTTTTTTGACAGTTTCTTTTTCTGTTCAATAATGTTTAGCAAAAGTTAATTATATGACTTCAATTATATGTTTGTTTACATTATTTTATTCTATGTTGATTTGTTTATTGTTCAACATTAAGTCTGTGATATACAATGTTTCATAGATAAATGAGAACAATGCATACTCTACAACTATTGGTTGAACTATTGCAGCAGTGTCTGTTTTATTTATAGAATTGAGTGGAGGCTGCTGTGTTGGCTTCTTTTCTTGCTTTTCTTTTCTGTCCATTGGTGTAAATAGTGTCTTGCAGTTTCTCCTCATCATTTGTAGTGGAGCCAAGTTCACCCATTAAACTAAACTGTTTGTGTCACAATATCTAGTGTTTCAAATACAGTATTTTATAAAAATATCTATACAGTTGTATCTTCATGTTTTTTTTTTCTCTTTTGTTGAGACAGTGTTCCTACACTGTATATCAGGATTTCTTGGAAATCAATATGTAGCCCAAGTTGCCATTAAACAAAATGTGTGGTAATCCTCTTGCTTCAGCCTCTTGAGTACTGTGATTACAGGTGGGAGTTACCATTCCTATTTTATATACTACTCTGGAATTGACCCCTCAATTAGCATGTAGTAACCTTAATTTTTATTTTTATACTTTTTTGATAAGTAATTTTTCAGCTGAATAATATATCCCTTATTTTTCTTTCCTTTCTTTCACTTTCAGTCAGTTAAAGATTTTATTATTTGTTTTTATACAGAATCTCAATATGTAACTCAGGGTAACTATAAAATTTTATTACTATTCATGTATTTTCAAAAAATTCTTTGATCTTCTTTCCCATTTATTTATGTTTAAGGTTTTGATTTGATGGTATTTTCATATTTTACTATTTTGGTGTGTTTTCTTAATTATATCTGTGTATGTGTTCCTCTGGTTAGTTTTACATTTCCATGACTTTTTAAAAATCAATCCTCCCTTAACTCAAATTACATATTGTCTTCTGTTCTTGCTAGAGTCTAAAGTATACAATTACAGGATTTGTCTTTCATTTGTGGGCTCAGTGTTTAGAAAATCATGTGGCATATGGAGATTCTCAATAGCTGTGATGAACAGGTAAATACATGAGTAAATAAGTGAATGAATTAATAAATTACAAAAGTTTTTCATTTTATTATTATATGTTTCTTCTGTAAAAGAATAATTTCATTTCTTGTAGCTCCTACATCATAGTCCCATTTTGTGAAATGGTACCTAAAGTGTCTAAAGACCAAGATCACTTTAATTTTTGGCATGTCTAATAAATGACTCTTCATTATAGAGATGGGCTGTATTCTTATCCAAAAGAGAAAATGTGGGGATAAAGAGAAATGCATTTATTCTGCAACATATCTAGTGTCTTTTTCACAGTATGAGGGAGTAACTCTTTAAATCATGGTATTAGATTGTCATATGTTCTGTTATAGAAATTGTAAGCATTTGAAGATTGCTCTCAGTATCCCTCTCTGCATTATACATGACTATTTCTCAGTAGGACACTCTAATAGGAGTACTCGCATCCTGGACTTGAAATATAAATATCACTTTCTCATGGAAGATGGAACTTTGATATTATTGTTTTTAAAACTTGTCTATTA